CTTTAAATTATCTTCCAGTAGATACATAGGAGTGGAATTGTGGGGCCATATGGTAAGTGTATAGTCTTTATTGATTTAAAGTGCCTTAGCATGAATTAACCTGCAGGAGGCTGAAAGTAAGCCCTGTGGGAATGGAACACGTGATCAGGGACATGAGATAATTATAAGAAAAGGGAGATTACTGAGAAGAGAGGTAGAAATGCATTAAAAGATAAATTCATCTACTTCATTATTTGTACCTCAGTATTCAGGAAGCCTAAACATCTTACTGCTGCAAAACTGCCTCACTGTTATTATAATTATAGAACTTCACATTGACCCCAGCACACAATATTAGGCTTGTGTGGGTGGACAAGTACAGTGATTCGGGCATCTAAAGGCATCTAAATCTGAACAGCCTGCATGGTTGTCCACTTTTAGGGATCCATTAATTTAATCACAACAAGAATTTGCTTTAACAAAAAAAATTGCACTTAAAAATTTCAGTTGGAATTTGTACTATTTATAGAGCCTCCTATTACACAGTTTGTATTTATTCTGGCTGGTTTCTGCAGAGGCCATTCTGAATAGCCTCCCCGTGAAATATGAAACTGTACTAGAAATAATGACGGAGAACAAAGAACTCTGTGACAACAGAAATTACTATTATATAGATCAAAATATACCCACAAGTCAAATTGTGTCCTCTTAAAATTGATCTAATCCAGTTAATTAATTAATAACAAAGAAATCCATCTTGTTTCCCAGCAAAAGAGTGTGTGTGTGTGTGTGTGTGTATATATATATATGCCTTGGTTGGAGTGTGGGGTGTGGGTTCAATTCCCGGTCAAGGCATGTACCTAGGTTGTAGGTTCAGTCCCCAGTTGAGGCATGTACAGGAGGCAACTGATCAATGTTTCTCTCTTCTCTCTCTCTCTCTCTCTCTCTCTCTCTCTCTCTCTCTCTCAATAAAGCAATATCCTCAGGTGAGGATTAACAAGAAAAAAAAAGAGGCTTCTGTAATTAGAGACTTATGGGTTGAGAAATCTAGTTATTTATTTTTTCAGTTCTCAAATATACAACCAGAATTAGCACTTGAGTTATAGGCAAAAAGTTTATCCACTTTATCTTTCTCCTATTGAAAAGATCACCCCAAATATCTTGGGTAATTTGAGCATAGGTACCCAAGTGTTCAGTAGATCTGGCTTATCAGGGACTGAAAAATATAGAGAACATTTTTGAAGTATTCATAGCGATACAGAATTAATTTTTTAAAATATACTTTTTATTTATTTCAAAGAGGAAGGGAAAGGGAGAGAGAAATAGAAACATCAATGATGAGAGAGAATCATTGGTCCTAGCTGGTTTGGGTCAGTGGATAGAGATCAACCTGCAGACTGAAGGGTCCCAGGTTCGATTCTGGTCAAGGGCACATGCCTGATGATTCTCTCTCATTTTTCATTCTCTCTCATGTTTCATTCTCGCTTTTCCTCTCCCTCCTCTCTGAAATCAATAAAGACATATTTGAGAGAGAGAGAGAGAAAAGCGAGAATGAAACATGAGAGAGAATGAAAAATGAGAGAGAGAAAGAGAGAGAGAGAGAGAGAGAGAGTCATCGATCATTGATCAGCTGCCTCCTGCACGCCTGAACGCCTGCATGCCCCACACTGAGGATCAAGACCCAAACCTGGACATGTGCCCTGACCTGGAATCAAATCCTGACCTCTTGGTTCATAGGTTGACGCTCAGTTACTGAGCCACACCAGCTAGAGGAATTCCTTTTCCTTTAATAAAAGCCAACAAAGCCCTGGCTGGTTTGACTCAGTGGATAGAGAGTTGGCCTCTTGACTAAAGGATCCCGGGTTCGATTCTGGTCAAGGGCACATGCCTGGGTTGTGGGCTTGATCCCCAGTAGGGGGCGTGCAGGAGGCAGCTGATTGATTATTCTCTCTCATCATTGATGTCTTTTTCTCTCCCTCTCCCTTCCTCTCTGAAATCAATACAAATATATATATATATATATATATATATATATATATATATATATATATATATATATTTAAGTCCAACAGAAATATCTCTTCGACATCAATATCAGGAAAAGCTGTGCTTCTCTTAAACAACTGGATTATTTTTATCCTACATAAGTAGTTCTCAGAGTGTGGTTTCCAACTAGCATTATCTGTATCCCCTGGGAACTTGTTAGAAATGCAAATTCTCAGGCTTTCCCCAAAACTAACAAATTAGAAACTCTAGAGATGAAACCCAGCAATCTGTATTTTGATGAGTATTCCTGGTGATTCTGATGAAGACAAATTATGAGAGAACTACACTTCTGTGTATGATGGCTGAAACCTTTGAGGCTAAATTTGCAGTCTCTCTAGCAACAGTTTTCTAATCCCTAACTCTTAAGAGGCAGAGAAGAGTTCTCCAGCATCCTTAGATGGCCAGCTCTTTGGAAATTAAAAAAAAAAAAGATTTTGCTGACACTAAGTGAATTGGACTGAATCAGAAAACTCAACTTCAGAAAAATGCTAATTTGTTTTTTCAATATCCACTACTTCCTTCAAATTAAAAGGCTACATTAAATTGTGTTACAGCCGAAACCGGTTTGGCTCAGTGGATAGAGTGTCAGTCTGCAGACTGCAAGGTCCCAGGTTTGATTCTGGTCAAGGGCATTTACCTTGGTTGAGGGCACATCCCCAGTAGGGGGTGTGCAAGAGGCAGCTGATGGATGATTCTCTCTCATCGATGTTTCTAACTCTCTATCCGTCTCTCTTCCTCTCTGTAAAAAAAAATCATTAAATAAAATTTGAAAAAAAAATGTATTGCAGCTGTTTAATCTATATCCAAGTAGTTGGTTTTGAAAATCTTGGGAGATGATATTGACCAATTATGCACTAAAAACAAACAAAATTATTTCATCATTTTGTATAGACCAAGTGCCCTGTAACTTTAACTACAAAAGACATGGTTGTGTTTTATGGGTGAATTATAAGGTAAAAGAAGTAGATATAAAAGCAGATGCATTTAAACTATCATGATTTGCTTCTTAGGCAGGAAATCTCTTGTTCTTTAATTAATAAAACATACAGAAAACCTAAGTCCACAATACCAAATGAGGAAATATGACTTATGGTCAGGAACCGTATTTTTCAGGTCTTGTCACTGATTTTTTAATCTTTTGGAATAGAGAGATAACCTATTTCATCTCAGCTACAGAATACTTGTGTGACCTTGCATGAGATACTTTCCCCCTCTGAACCTCATTTCTGCCTCTGAAAAGATAGAGGATTGGATATTATCATCTTTTAGGTCACTTCAATCTCTGATATTCTGGGATTCTAGGATTCTAGCGATAAGAACTCCATTGCACCAAGAGCACCCTAATATCACTGCTCTCTCCTGACCTCTCCTGACTAGAAGGAAGAAGGAGGAGGAAGCACAGGCTGGTGGGTGCAGGCTGATGAAAAGCATGCCCTAGATCTTTGGAATCCAGATGATTTTGGAAATCACTGGCAGGCTTTGTTTCTTGCTGTGTGGCTATCAGTTGAGGTGTGAATTGGGAGATACGGTTTGCTCTTTGCTAAATGATATGTAGGAATCTCAGAGAGATTTTATCATTAGGTTTGTTGAAACAAGATATGAACCATGAAATTACTTAAGTGTATATACTAAAACTAAGGGATTTGGTTTTACCCAAACATTTCTTTTCCCCATTCCCATTGAAACAGTTATTTAACTGAGTAATTCAAGCTTGGAGATAATTTCATAAAGGGTAGAGGATAGGTGTGGTTTAGGTGGTTCAATTAACCAGATAATTGATTCAATTCATCCAATAAGTTTTCCCTGTAGAATTTATTATAACTATTCTGTCAGTATAAAGAGCAACCTTTCTTTGTCCCTGCTGTTCACTGGCTAGCTTTTCATTTTACTCCCCAGGTTAATTCTTATATAGATATATTTATAAACATCTTACTACAAAAAGTTTCTCCTAGCTGAGAGATTATCCTTTGAAATTGATCATTTCAGAAAATACTTTTTTAGCAGGTTATATTATTAAATGCTTTCAAACTGTTGGCTGCCCACTCCCAAACAACCCTCCACCCCACATACACACATAAATCACATAATCACATTTTCTGTAACAAAGGCCTTTTCTTGCAGGTACTAAGGTAAATTGTCTTCATTTTCTGCCTCCTTCCATTGATACCATCTATATGCTTCTTGTCATCTCTGGAGTAACCTATGACATTCCCTCACTTGAAAAGAATGGTTTTCATTCTTATAAGTCTTTCTGTGTCAGAACCTTAAGCTGTATTCTGTGTTATTTTGTTTTGTAACAAGGCGGATTCATTTCTAAAGAGAAAAATGCTAAAAAGCATTTAAAAATAAATATCTTTAAAGGAAACAGTCAAACAGTAAAAACTGTTTTATTAGGACATTTAGGGACAAAGAAACTGGTGGTTTGCCTGCATTTTCATCTCATCAAGGTTGCTTTGCAATTGTGCAGTGTAGCCCAAGTAATATGCACAAAGTTGGGCATTACCATGTGTCAGAACAAAGTGATAAGCCCAGGTCACCTGAATTATCCCTCCTTGGAGGTGACATCAGCCCTGTCAACATGTGAGTGATGTTTGCTTCAGCACCTCACTGATACAAAATATGGAGAAGTGGATTCAAGTTTGTGCTTCAGGGAACATACATACTTAGTTATCATGTAAAAGAATGCATTAGACCATCCTCTGGTCGCAGAAAAGTGAATGATGAGCCCCAATAGAAAAGTGACAAGATCTATTTAGGTTTTTGTGGTTCAGTATGGAAACAGATTGATTCTAGTAAACAATAGGTATTGTTCTATACTATCTTATTATTTATAAGGTTCCCCAACAGGGAAGAATAATCAACTGCAGAGCATTTCCCAACCCCCCTCATTCTGTCACAGAAACACCAATAAAACTCCTCCACCTCTGACTCTTCAAGTGCCAGATTCGTAAGCACTTAGCCAAGCATGCTGGGAGACACAGAACAACTGACGGAAAGCAGTATCCGGATGTCTTGAATTTGCTTGCCATTCTGCTGTGTTCCTCTAACATCTCATCACTAGACATGGGCATTAGATGTGACAGTAAACCACACTTGAACTGAACAGAAGAAATATTAAAAGCATAATCTTCAGAAGAGATGCCTCAAAGACAGCCTCAGTCACCTAATCAGACTTTCATTTCAATCTCTAATGACACAGAATCATCCAGCTCTGTTGTTCCTAATGATACCAAAAATAAAGGATGGACCGGAGACAACTCTCCAGGAATAGAAGCATTATGTGCCATCTATATAATGTATGCTGTGATCATTTCAGTGGGCATCCTTGGAAATGCTATTCTCATCAAAGTCTTTTTCAAGACGAAATCCATGCAAACTGTTCCAAATATTTTCATCACAAGCCTGGCTTTTGGAGACCTTTTACTTCTGCTAACTTGTGTGCCGGTGGATGCAACTCATTACCTTGCAGAAGGATGGCTGTTCGGAAGAATTGGATGTAAGGTGCTCTCTTTCATTCGGCTCACTTCTGTTGGTGTATCGGTGTTCACCTTAACAATTCTCAGCGCTGACAGGTGGGTTCTTTTCTCATTTATATTTGCCAGAGTGTGAAATGATGTGAAAAAAGGAAAGCTTATACTTAGCATTCACTGGCTACTCTGCTTTTTTCTATTGTAAGCTGGATGTAAGATAGACAATTGGGGGCATTTTAAATAAAAGTTGGTGTAAGAATGTTAAATTTCCTATGTTAGCATGAGAGGAGAGGTTAAAATTGTTCGTTTTATGGATAATGTTTTCTCTCTGCAGTGAAATTTGTTTGCTTGCAAGAATATGTGAATGATCCCCCACCACCACCCAGTTTATAACGGAAAATTGTTTCAGGTGTAAAAGAAAAACAATTCATGCTTTATACGTTAGTGCAGCCTAGTGGTGCAATATTATCAACATTTAAAAATCAGCCTAAGTGTGAAATTGACCATATATGCATTACTGACTACCGGAAGACCAATAAACACACACACACACACACACACACACACACACACACACACATCTAATTTATTTAAAATTCATCAAATTAATTAGTGGCAGAAAAACGTGAGGTTTTCAGCTTCCTGATAACTTAGTGTAATATCGTCACTTAATTGTATTTGTTTTCTCTTTAGGCATTCAATGACATTGTCGTTTCCAGAGAAATAAATTAATCTTGTTTAACTTTTAGATCTCTGTGTATAAAGCATGTGAGAACCTCTGGCAGTTAGAGTGTTCAGGCTCTGTTAGGATATTTTCAGTCTAAGTATTGTTTTTCTGTATTCCTATTGCAGAATGGTAACTGAAAACATGAACAAAATTGAGGCTCTAAATGTTCAAAGTGATGCTTAAGAAAATCGGCAAGTAGCCAAAAGTAATCAATGCCTGGCAATGCCAGAAGGAATAGCTTCTTCAGATTCTGGAATCTGAGAGGAGGAAAAGCTTTCCTGATGTCTTTTTTTTATCTTGATTTTTTATATTCTATCTGAGGACAGATTTATTGAAAGGCTGTAGATTTTTAAGGTGGATATGTCAGAATTAAGAGGCATCTTTGCATGGGCAGACAGGGCTTCTGATTCCCTCACTTTGCCCCAAATCTACCTACAACATGTTGCTTGGGCAACAAATTAGCACTTTTCAACAGGGGAGAAATTAACCCTCTCCTCTTTACTGCATAAATTCGTGGAATTACTTTTCTAGTAATTCTGACTGCTCACTCATGAAGAAGGGAAAATTAGGTTTAACATCAGTCCACTGATATAAAAAATATTTTAGAATACTTACAGTAATACACAGGTAATGAATTACTCTCAATCACACATAAAATTATGCTGGAAAAAAACTTATTTGTATTAAATAAAAGATCTACACAAAAAAATTATGAAATTGCAAACCTGCAATAGCTCATACTGGTGAATAAGGGAAAAGGTGATTGACACAAATAAAAAAAAAATACTGGGATGTATTATGTGTATTTGAAACCATAACTAATTCCAGTGGTTAATGTTGGCTTAGTTATATACATTCAGATAGGAGTGGAACTGGATGACCACTTTTAACCCTGAGAGTCTGTAATTTTTATATTTATTTGATCTTTGCTTCTGCTTTATGTGTTCCTAGATACAAGGCAGTCGTGAAGCCTCTGGAGCGACAGCCTTCCAATGCCATCCTGAAGACCTGTGCCAAAGCTGGCTGCATCTGGATCATGTCTATGATAATTGCTCTACCAGAGGCTATATTTTCAAATGTATATACTTTTCGAGATCCCAGCAAAAATATGACATTTGAATCATGTGCCTCTTATCCTGTTTCAGAGAGGCTCTTGCAAGAGATACATTCTCTGCTGTGCTTTTTAGTGTTCTACATTATTCCACTTTCTATTATTTCTGTCTATTATTCTTTGATTGCTAAGACTCTTTACAAAAGCACCTTGAACATACCTACTGAAGAACAAAGACATGTCCGCAAGCAGGTGTGTATTAATTAGGACTCGTGCATGAATTTATAAGTCAAAGGTCCTAGTTTAGCACCTGCGAGCAATAAATACAATAGCAGTATGGTATTTTGTTACAGACATGGGCTCTGGAGTCTGTCAGACCCAGAATTTAATTCCAGCTCTATCACATACTAGCTAAGAGATCTTGAGCAACTTACTTAACCTCCCTAAGCCTCAGTTTCCTGGTCCGTGAAATGGACTTGGGGAGTGGATGTTCTATATTAAATGCTTAGCATAGTTCTTGGTGTATGGTAAGAATTTAATAAATGGTAGAACTACTATTATTAGAAAAGGGATAGCTGAAATTTGGGAGCAGTCAAAATTATTTACATAATGGAATAGTGAGGAACATTGTACAAGGCGGTTCTATAAAAAGAAGTATATTTTGTTTTTAAAAGTGTAACAGAATGAAAGAAAAACACAGGATGATAGAACTGGCAAGAAGCCATAACATTATTCAATGCAAACCACATACACACAGATGAGTAAACTGAGGTCTGCAGGTATGAAGTGCCAGTGGTAAGAGAACACAGTGATTCACAGACTCTTGTTTAAGACTATAGCAAGGAAGTTTTAAAAGAAAAAAAAAAATACTATTGCAAGACCCAGGTGTGCTCTCCTCCCACAAATAAGAAGAGTGTTGCCAAAACATTGTTCCATTTTTAAAAATGCAACAGGATTTCTATATTTCTTGGGGGAGAGGGAAAATTCCATTTATCTCTTGACATGTTTGCAGAGAGCTCAACACCTTTTTGTGGAGCTGGTTCATTTGAATAGTTAAACAGTGGTGCTCATAAGACTAAAGTTGTATATTTAATGCTCATGTGAACAGTTTCTTTGCTCTATCTGTGACTACATGCAATGCCTTCATTTCATCTGGTGCGTTTTTCTTATTACTAGAGGTCCGGTGCATGAAAATTCATGCAGTGGAGGGGGGTCCCTCAGCCCGGCCTGCCCCCTCTCACAGTCAGGGAGCCCTCAGGGGCAGGAGGCGACTCAGTGATCAGGGGAAGGCGATGCCCCCATCGCACCTCTGCTGTTGCCACCGCTGGCAGTGCAAACCTTGGCCAGTCCTCGTTACCTGAGCCTCAGGCGGCCCTGGGTGGCTGGGAAGCTACCATCTGAGGTTTGCCTGTGCTTTGGGCTGGCCCTGGGCAGCTGGGTAGTTGAGGAGACTGGGGGACTCAATCCCCAGCATCCAGTCCATGGTGGGGTTGAGGGGACTGGGTGCTGCCATCTTGTGGCTGTGGGCACCACCATCTTTGAGGGTGTGGCAGTCAATTAGCATATTCCCTCCTTATTGGCTGTGGGCGCTGCCATCTTTGTGAGGGTATGATGGCCAATTAGCATATTCCCTGATTATTAGATAGGATAGTTAAGAGAACTGTAAACCATCTTGAAGTGGACCAAAGAGAACCAGGAGAAAAGACGGCTTAAAAGTACTCTTTTGATTAGAGAAAAATCTTTTGGGAAAGGCTGGAAGTTTACAACATTAAAAAACGTCACTACTTAGTATGATATTAGTTTGTTTAATCAATTTATCAGGTAATATTTCAAATATATTGGGTTACATAAAACATAATATTAAAGTTAGCCTCACTTATTTCTTTCAACCTTTTTTAAGTGTGACTTATATTCGGTTGAACACTACTACTCTACAGTAATTTTCCTAGATGGAAGTAAAAATAACTTCTTCACTGGAAAGGAAAAATAATGATAGATAATTTAGTCATGTTCTTTCTGCCATCATATATAATAAAGAGCTAATATTCTAATTAGGCCAGACAGCAGAACGACCTTCCAGAGGACTTTCTAGAAAGACCAGTGGCAGGGGCTAGGACTGCAAGGCAGCAGGGGCTGTGAGGGCCTACTCTTGCATAAATTTTGTGCATTAGGCCTCTAGTTATGTCATAAAATGCAGTCAGATATAAGTATAGAATTTATACTTATAAATTCTATAAGTATAAGCTTATGGATTCAAATCACCACAGATTTCTCATCACTCATTTATCTCATAATGAATGTTGAAGGACAAATCTTAGTGCCTAAATAGTATAATGTATTATTAAAATAAATAAGTATAGGACTGGCTCTGACTAGCTAACTCAGTTGGTTAGAGCATAGTCAACAAATCAATGTTTCTCTATCTTTCTTTTTCTCTTTCTCAAAATCAATAAGTTAAATAGGTATAAGATTTTTTTTTCACATATGATGGAGGAACATTGATATTTATTACTTTGACTATGTATTTAGAATTGCTACAGATTAAAACCAGTTTTTGGTACCAACTTGGAAACTTTCATAAACCCCAGAATAATATTCTAACCTATTCAGCCTCTGCTGATATAGTGAAAGCAGTAAGTATCTCTCTCTACTGTTAATATAATTAAAATTTCCAAAATTCCATAACACTCCTTGAGATCATTGGAGACATCCTAGAGTACCTCAAAACCAGGGGTGGGAGTCTCTGAATTGGAGCTAATAAAACCAAGATCATGGCTTACCATGTGTATTCTATAGCCACAAGCTGCCTTCCCACACATCCCAGGCAGTTATCTCATAAACGCATGTATAAAGGGAAATCAGCTTGTTGACTACAAATATCTAGGTAAGTCTAGAGAATGGCTTTTTTTTAATCTTCAAGCTAAATGATTTTTTTTTCTTTTGCCATTTTTCTTCCCTCTTATAGATGGAATCCCGGAAGAGAATTGCCAAAACGGTGTTGGTGCTGGTGGCTCTGTTTGCTCTCTGCTGGTTGCCGAATCACCTCTTATATCTTTACCGCTCATTCACTTCTCAAACCTACGTGGACCCCTCTGCCATTCATTTTATAATCACCATTATCTCTCGGGTTCTGGCTTTCAGCAATTCTTGTGTAAACCCCTTTGCTCTTTACTGGCTGAGCAAAACCTTCCAGAAGCATTTTAAAGCTCAATTATTCTGTTGCAAGGCAGAGCTGCCTGACCCTCCTCCTGCAGATACCCCTCTTAACAACCTGTCTGTGATGGGAAGGGTCCCCTGTGCTGGGAGCACACAGGTGTCTGAAATTAGTGTGACTTTGTTCACTGGGTGTAGTGTGAAGAAGGAAGATGACAAAGTCTAGCTTTTAAATTACATTGGTTATTTTTCTTCCCAGCATGTGTATCTGATTCTGAGCTGTGCGTAGGTGTATGTTGTCAGGATGTTTGTTGTTTGTAAATTGTGTTGAAATCTTAGGAGTGAAGGTCCCTTATAAGTAAAAGACAAACTATGGTTTTTAAAATGTATAAATATTAATGTTATTGGGCTTTCTAAATAAAATTAAACCCCCTAGGTTAGGAAGATACATTTATATATGCCAGTGTGTCCCAAGGGAGCTTGCATAGAAGGGAAGGTAAAAAAAAACCAAGATAACATTTAAAAATCTAATTTGTTTCCATCCCATCTATAATGCTTTTAATTACTCACATATTCCCGTGATTTTCATAAACTGTGTTTGTGTTTATTATGTGCTGTGAATCTAGACATTATGTCTTGTATATGAAAAGGGGATAAAAAAAAAAAATCTCTTCTGCACTTTTCTTAAAAAGCAAAGTCCTTACCCAACTGGCATGGTTCGGTGGTTGAGTGTTGACCTTTAAACCAGGTCATGGTTTGATTCCTGATCAGGGCACATGCAGGAGTTGTGGGCTCGATCCCCAGTGTGGGGCGTGAAGAAGACAGCTAATCAATGGTTTTCTCTCATCATTGATGTTTATATCTCTTTCTCCTTCTCCCTTCCTCTCTAAAATCAACAAAAATACATTTTTTTTAAAAAAAGTCCTAAAAAATAAACCTTAACAGGTTGTTTTTTTTTGACTGCCCTTTTCTATTAATCTCTAGCCCAATATAACTAAACCTGAGCACTTGCAATGAAAATGTTTTGGGGGTCAGTGAGTATAAGGTAATGAGTAAGGATCTCGGATAAGGAACTTGCCTTACTGGGTCAACACTTACTGACCTAATGTAGTTTTATTTAAAACTACCATTGGTTGATAATTGGACAGCATTTTCGTTCACAAATACTGATGAACTTGCCTTTACAGGCAGAATAAGTGGACGCATTTATGGTGTAATTTGAGAGCTCCAGAGAAAGACAAATCCCTATTTAAAAATCTGCCAGCCTGCCTGTCTGAAACCTTCCTTTAAGGAAATTAATTTCTTTCTGGTAAGCAGTGCCCTCTTTCTAAAAAAATGCAGAAGTACACATGAAATCCCTTACACCTGGGTGTGCAGTTGTTATCTATCAGATCATCTTCCTGCTTGATTTTATTAAAGCTGATGGGGTGCTTAAGTCCTGTAAGAGTATAACCTACTTAATCTCTGCCCTTAGAAATCAGATGTAAGGTTTTGGTTTCCTATCCTCTGTTCCTATTTGCTATCGCTATAAACCTGTTAATCATTTTTATTTCAAACAACTGTTGTCAGTAGACATCAGATCTAGATTTGTGATTTCAGACAGTGTTTTCTTGGAGTAATTTAAAGCATATGTTTGACACTAGAGATAGCTACATTTGCATTTTCAAAAACTTGATTTTTCGGGTGTGCTCTTGAGCTTTCTTTAAATGGCTGTGTATTGTAAACTTTTCGATAATGTGGCTCAAATGAGGATATATATTATCACTAGACTTTACATTTCTGTAAAATTGGTTTGCTTAAGTGAGGGTGCCTAAATTGTATTAGTATTGTTTTCAGTTGGACATTGTAATAAGTGGGACCAAACAAATAAATATTAAAATTTCAAATAACTTTGTGTAACTTTATGTTCTAAAAAAAAAAAAAAACCCTGACAGAATATAACTGGGAACACACTTTAATCCAAAAATTTAAGTTTTTTTTTAAAATAAATCTTTATTGTTCATCTAAAAATGTTCCTCTTCCCCCTCCCCCCCCCATAATTTCCTTATAAGTATTCTGTCATTATTTCTTCTAATAAGTTTTCAATATTTTACTCTCTCTCTTCTTCTGGCACCCCAATAATTCAGATGTTGGTACACTTAAAGTTGTTCCAGAGGCTCCTTGCACTATCCTCATATTTTTGGATTCTTTTTTCTTTTTGTTTTTCTGGTTGGGTGTTTTTTGTTTCCTCATATTTCAGATCTTTGGTTTGATTCTTGGGGTCCACTGATCTACAGTTGAATTTCTGTATATTCTTCGTTTCAGACAGTGTATAATTATTTTCTGACTGGTCCTTTTCCTTTTTTTTTTTTTTTTTTTTTTTTTTTTTTGGCATTCTTATTAAGATCCTTGGAGGTCTCACTTATGGATATGAAGAGTTGAAATCTGGTGTTGTCTCACACTGACCACTAGGTACACTGGCTTCTGGATCTCCAATTGGGTGCAGGTCAGCTACTGTCTGAGGCCACCCAGCAGGATCTACAGCGAGAATTACAGTTTTCTCTTCTTTGCTTGGGGTTTGGAGGTTTTGGAGCTGTCTGACCAGAGATGCAATTTGTTAGGTTAAACTAAGATAGGGCAGGCCATTTATATACAAAAGCTGCTGCATGGAGCTTAGGTGGGTTTATAGACTGTGCAGGGCGGGGTCTCAAGGAGTCACTAGGCTAGGGTGTGGCAAACCGCGATGGCTGCCAGTCAGCCGTCTTGCATCTCTGAGTTTCCGCATCACCAGGTCTTGCGCCCCAGCACAGTAAACAATGATTCCTGCATGCAACTCTGCAAGCAAGCCACCCTCACTTTCCGATCTGATGGCAGACAGTCCAGCTTCTCCCCATAGGAGTCTGGGTCCCCAGCATTTCCCCAGAAACTGGACTTCAGAGTAATCGGGAGCTTGTCTCCCTTCAGATTGAAAAAACAACGCCCGCCGCCAGCCTGGTTTACATGCCTCTGTACCTCAGCTTTGCAGTGCTTGTGCATGTCTCAATGCTCTTTTATCTTTACTTATAGTTGTAGAACTTCCACTCAGCCAGCTTTCCCATGGTTCTGGGTGATAGACGTTTTGTCTTTTAGTTGTAGTTTTGAAATTGTTATGGGAGACAGCAGTTTAGGTGTTTACTTATGCTGCCATCTTGGTTTCTCCACCCCCAAATTTAAGTTTTTTAAAGTCACAAAGCTCCCAAATATTTTATTGTTTTCCTCACTTTGGTTAAAAATTACATCTTTACTCTCCTAATACAACATTTTAGAAATAACTTGACATAGGTACCAGATTATAAAAGCCGAGAGAGAGGGCCTTTTAGCAGTTGATAAAACTAGAGCTCAAAGAACTTTCATTTTCTTCCTGCCAAGTAATCCCAAGGTGAATTATGGATCTTATATAAAATAATTCCCTAGTTTAATAGGGCATCAGTCTCCCTTCCAGAGTTAAAGGATTGGAATTAAACTTTGTGGCTTTGTGGTGTTTTTGTTTTGTTTGTTTTTTAGGGGGTGATCTTTTTTTTATTTTTTTTTTAAACATATTATCCTTTTTAGGGCAAACCTTACAAGTAGGCTCCAATATCTACATTGTCTTTTACATTGTCATTGCCTATTGTGGTGCTATAAATACTATGATGGAAGATTTCATTTCTTTAGAAAGGTTCCTAAATGGGGCGAGAGATGGGACACATGAAAAAAAAATTTTAGCCCTAACCAGTTTGCTCAATGGATAGAGCATTGGCTTGCAGACTCAGAGGTCCCAGATTTGATTCTGGTCAAGGTCATGTACCTTGGTTCCAGGCACATCCCCAGTGGGGCATGGGCAGGAGGCAGCTGATCAATGGTTTTCTCTCATCGATATTTCTAACTCTCTATTCCTCTCCCTTCCTCTCTGTAAAAAATAAATAAAATATATTTTTTAAAAATAATAAAAATTTTATATACTTCTCAGTTTTTCTCAGGGTCTTCCCTGACCATGACTATGCTCTAATGCAGGAAAACAATGGAACAGACTTAGTTATAACCAAAATGTTCAGTGAGTAATTGTCAATGAAGTTGAAAGTGCCACAAAACATTAAACATGGTTGTATCTACTGAAATAGCAAATTTGGGTTAAAAAATTTCCTTAGTTATAACCACTTTAGGTCAGTGATCCATCAATCATTTGTCAAAAAGAGTTACTTATGTTCACTAAGTTTTGAGGTTATAGGAAGTGGGAACAGAAAAATCCCCAATAGAGTTAGCTTGAAAAGGCCATTAAAATAAATCTCATTTGGTGTAGTTCAGTAATTTCCCAGGAAAAGTTCCTGGGCCAGGTAGATGACTTCTCTGGCCAAGCAGTTTCTGGTTTTGTAGGTTAATGTATTTTTATCTACCAAGAAGGCTGTGGTCTGTCAGACAAGGACTACAGCACAGATCACCACTTACAGAGGTCAAAGACAGAAGAATGAAGATATTTAAAAATAAGCCACATGCCTAGGTTCCAAGATAGGTTTAGCTTCCTGCGTTCGGCAGCCACTCATGTGGCCCATCTACATTCTAGCCCTGGAGTTTCAGGAGCTATCCTCTATCTTTATAATAATGAGTCCCCTTTTTGCTTGTTATCTTGAATATTTCTGTGACTTGTGAAAAATCTTGAAAAAGACAGGTTACCAAGACAGAGATGCTTCCAGATTACCTTGGTTACTAGGCTGTTAATTCTACGAATTCATAGGGAAATAAGAACAAAGAGATGCCAGGCCTCATACAGACAATAGCATTGTTTAAAAAATAACTGTCAGGTCTCATGGTCAAATAGAATACCATGTAGGTACAAGTGTGCTTAACTTCCAACTCCACTATTACATTGACTCAGTGACCCTCCGTCACTGTCAGCTCCTCCTCTCATCTCTGGGAAACTTCACAGCAGGCCTCTCTATTCTGCTTATTACAATTCCTATATGAGCTTCTCTGCTTCTATGCTACTTGGACCATGTCTTTGTCTGTTCCAGACTCATTCCTCTCACTGAGAGGCTCTTATTGGCTCAATTCATCAAACTGTCTAGAATGCAGGGCTACCCTGCCAATCACTTCACAGGCCTCTGGATAGCCTTTGGGCTACAGTGGCTGGGTCACATGGGACATAGGCATAAGGAACCTTTGTGACCACCTACTCAGAGGAGCCTGTGGATACAACAGGCACTCAGAGTGCTACATGCAGTAGGACTATGTAGCATATTATCACCTATCTATCAATTCACCCAGAAATGAAAAGTATTCCGTAACACATTGCTGAAAACAGCTGTATATTATTTTTGGATCCAGGAACAAATATTTAGCGATGCTTAAATGAGCCTAACACAACTCATGTTATCTATATTATAAAAATGCATGCAAGCTCAGTTCTCCAATAGTTCCTAACACAAGAACTTCATTTTTAAAAAATGCAATTGAAACAACACACCAAAAACCCAAGATACGATTTAAAAATTATTGTTATGGTGGAAACCATAGTCACACAGCTAGGAACTGGGGAGTCAGGAAGTTTAGAAGCAAAGAAATAGTAGAAATTATTTTTTGCTGTAACCGGTTTGGCTCAGTGGATAGAGCCAAACCGAAAGGTCCCAGGTTCGATTGCGGTCAAGGGCATGTACCTGAGTTGCGAGCACATCTCCAGTAGGAGGTGTACAGGAGGCAGCTGATCGATGCTTCTCCCTCATTGATGTTTCTAACTCTCTATGCCTCTCCCTTCCTCTCTGTAAAAAATCAATAA